AAAAAAAAAAAAAATTAAAACTAATATAAAATACAAAACTATAATAGAACACACACACAGGCTCATCACTGAGTTCAGAACTTCATTCAGTTTTCAGTGTTTTTTGTTGTGAAAGAGAAAATAGTTCAGGGGGTTTTCCTCTCAGTGAAAATTTAAAGGAATTGTTAAAATGTGATATTTTTAAAGGGAGGTTGGTCCAGGGATCTTTTAGTTGGATTCAACCTGCTAATATGGATAATTTGTTAACGTTTAGTCTCCACTACAGAAACACTAGCTGACTGCTAAAGGCTGATAAGGAACTGATGTTTTAATGCTGTAAATGGTTGCCCTTTGTGTGCCTGTTTTTAAACTACTTTCCTAATTAAACATGATGTTCTCATTATAGATGTTGTTATTAATGATCAGACAGACTCTGGGATAACTCCTTGTGAAAGAGTCCGGACTTAAGACAGGAAGTTGTGTAGTGTGAATAGTACAGAGATCTGATGACTTTGAAACGTTTGAGTGCAGCGGTGGAAGCAGCTTACCTGGTTCTCAGGTATTCTGCTCGTGTCCCGACTCGTTTTCTAGCAGACTTCACTTTAACATGACGTTTGTCTTTTATGTTGTTTGGACTAAAGTTTGTAGAAAAGTCCAGATCATCCCCAGCTCGGGACTGCAGAAACACTCTGGGTGTACAGTGGTATTTTAGAGTGGAGCTTCTCCCCTCACTGAGGATCTTCGATGAGTTCAGACAGTTTATTTTTGTTCTGAAGTTTCTCACTGAATGAATATGAAAGATCTAAACAATGAAAGTGACATCAGCACCAGCTGTAGCATTGTTAGTTTTCTGATGGTCTTATTTTATATTTCTTAAATTGTGGAGATGTGCTTTTGTACGGTAGAAACTTTTCACACGAACATGAAAGGTTTCATTTATATGTCCTAATGTGAAAATATCTTGATGTAACAATATATTGATGTCTTTTTCTTTTTCTGCCACGACAAAAATACGATTCTTGTTTTTTTACCTGTGTCTGATAATCCATAAAAAAAGTCAATCAATCAGTCAATCAACAGGAATGTTCTTTACACTGATCCTTGATAATGATCATTACGGTTATTTTATCCCTCGTCTCAGTGAAGTTGTGCAGTGTAGTTGCTGTAAAGGAGAGCTGAGGAGGACAAACACAGTAAAGACGGATTGGAGTTTGATCGGCTTTATTTGGAGTAATCTACCAGGAATGTGTCTATGTGATTGGTTGAATTATGGTGTTGACAGACTGAGTGAGAAGGCACACAGAGTTTAAAGCCTCGGTCCTGCACTGGCAGGTTTTGGAGTGACCTCCTGGTGCTGTATTCAGTTGTAGCTGTTCTGAATCCAGTCTGTGAAGCTTCCAGTCAGCAGCTGGAACTGTTTGTTGAAGGGGGGGCAGCTTGAATCTTGTAGACATCCAAGGTGATCATCGTGTTGTAATTATTGTAAATATCATTATGTGTCACACTGCTTACGTGCAGATTAAAGGCAAGGCTTGATGCCCTTAATGGGCCATAATTGTACAATGCTGAATTGGATTGAATTCTACCGACAATAGCTCCACAATCATACTATGTAACAGAGGACAGGACAGATACAGGACAGAGGTCAGAGCTGTAGATACAGGTCAGAGGTCTGTACTGTTTGTTTTATTCAAATAATAGTAACTGTAATAATATTATTGTTTTATATGTCAGTGCTGTAGATCCAGGTCAGGGGTCTGTACTGCCTATTTGATTAATATAACAACACAATGAAACAATTATATTAATATTTGCTTTATTTCATACGTTTTAGTGTCCAATTATTGACAGATCATAAAGAGTCCATTTGACAATAATGCCAAAGTTAGAGAGATAACGTTGACTGCTGTTGTAAATGGTTGCCCTTTTGTGTGCCTGTTTTTAAACTATCAATTCTATAGATACATGGCAGAGGTTAGTCCTAAAGATACAAGGCATAGGTCAGTGTTGTAGATACAGGGCAGAGGTTAGTGCTATAGATACAAGGCATATGTTAGTGTTGTGGATACTGGGCAGAGGTCAGTACTGTATGTTTGATTCATATAGTAACAATAATGATATTATTAATATTACAATATTATATTATTTATATTTGTACACCAGCAAAATGATTTTCTTCAGAACAATAGCACCACAATTGCTAACTGCTAATAACTCATTAACTGTTAGGAGTACAAGAATCATTTTTGGATTCCTTAGATGATACTCGTTTTACTGATATAGGCCCAAAAAAAATGAAACTAGATCAAATGTCATTCACATAAATAACGGTCAGGTGATGTCAGACTGAAATCAGCTGTTTGAGTTTTCTGCTTCCTGATTCTGCAGACGACTTCCTGCCGGTGTTGAAGAGCCCGCTGGGTCTGGTGGGGCAGGAGGCGGCCAACGTATCATCACAACGATCGCCACTCGCCAACATGTCGATCAAACATCCGCTCATCGAGATCCAGTGAGTGACCTCCGCATGTTGCTTTAAAGCTCAGTCTGACATTAAGTGTTCAGACGCCAGAGAGAGCAAAGTGAGACCACGTCTCCCATGAGCACCGGTGCTATCATTGCTTTCTGTGTGTACAGAAACTCCGTCCACAGTCTTCGTAAGAGATCGTCTCAGGAGTGGAGTCAGAGTGTGTTTCATGTAGAAGCTCCACAGTGGATTCCCCCGAACTCTGCAGACTCCAACAACACTACAGGTACCTCCAATAATAGTACAAATATACACTAATAGCAGTACTAATACTAATTAAAGCTGCAAGTAGCGTTGGGCGGGACCTCGCCATCTTATTTTAGTGTGTAAACAAATCATAAAAACTGTATTATAGGTACGAATTAAAATCCCTTTGTGTTCTAGTTACAACTCTGCTGTGGTTCTTAGTTTAAACTCCTGTGGTTCTGTTTTTTCTGTTCTCGCTGTCTGTACAGAGTGTTCGCCCTTTCAGACAGGCCTCTGAATTGAGTCATGCTGGGAAGAATCATCCGTCGGGGAGGTCCTGTGTGTGGTGTTGGTGTGTGTGTGGGATGACATCAGCAGGAACATCAGAGTATTTGAGAGAGGAGAAAAAATTCAGAAACTAAAATAAAAGTAGGACACACACCTCCCTCCTCATCCTTCTCCTACTCTTCCTTTCCTCCTCCTGTGCTCATCTCCTCTCTTCATTCTTGATCTCCTTTTCTCTCCTCTCTTCTCTCTTCTCCTCCTTCTTTGCTTCTCATCCTCCCTTTCTTACTTCCTCTCCTCCTCTCTTGCTTCCTCCTCCTCCTCCTGTCACCGTCTCAGTTTTCAGCTCTTTAATGAACAGACAAATGTTTCCGTCTTCTGATGACAAACACCAG